ACTATCAATGTGCTTAAGCATTTAGTTAAGTCTGCTCGTTTAACGTGCATTAAAAATTTCCTTTCTTATAGAAAAAAAAATTTTACATGCAAACTTTAACTTTTTTCAAAAATAACCAGACAAGAGTCCTAAAAAGCTGCGGATCTAAAAAAAAAAAAAGAAACTTATTAAAGCAAAAAAATAATAAGGTCCCTCACCATTTTTTTTTTTTCTTTTTTTTTTTTATAGAAGTTATAAAGTATTTAACATAAATTTTTATAGAAGTTATAAAGTATTTAACATAAATCCTTAACTCAAGACAAAAATTATGATAAAAATGATATTTTGCTCTTTTTTAAAATTTAATAAATAAATAAAGCAAAATTATTAAAATAATGGGAGTGGAGTAGACTTATCATGTCCGGTATACGGGTCATGGTAAGTTCGTTAATTCACTTATTTAAGTCATCTCATATTTTTTGAATTTATAAAACCAATGGTGGTTCTTTAACACATTTTAAGCTGTTCTAAACAGGTACTACTCAGTGGGCACATGACGTAAAATAGACATCTTTTGAACGTTCAAGAGACTTCTTTTTGTAGTCTGTTGCCCACTGGGTAATATCCAATATGTTAATAAATAGAGATTTGCTGCAACAGCTACCAAGTTGTTTAAAGCTTTTTAAAGTTGTTTAAATTTTTTCAAAGCTTTAAAAAGTAAACAATAAGTATAGTTTTTCTATATGTATATAGATATTTTTACATGTATATAGATATCTGCCGCTTATTAAAATTATTTAAGCAAGGAATAAGTATAGAAAAGGTCGGTGTGGAATATATTTACCTAGACCCGTTATATATATTTTACTGACCAGGACAGCTAGTATATATATAAATATATATAAATATATATATATATATATATATATATATATATATATACATGTATAAGTATATATATATATATATATATATATATATACATGTATAAGTATGTATATACATATGTATATAAATACATATATATATATATATATATACATGTATAAGTATGTATATAAATACATATATATATATATATATATATATATATATATATATATATATATATATATATATATATATATATTATGTATTATATATATATATATATATATATATATATATATATATATATATATATATATATATATATATATATATATATATATATATATATATATATATATATATATATATATATATATATATATATATATATATTTATATCACCAATATATTTATATATATGTATATATTTTTATATCACCAAAACAATTGTCCAGAAAACAGACATCCGTGTACTATTGCTAGAAACTATTGTAAATAGATTTTGTAAACGCAAAGCCTTTTTCTCTGGTCACAAAATTTCCTGTTTTATCTCAAAAATTGTTTTCCAGAATTGTAGTTTATAAATTCAAAACTATTTAACAAGTGCTTATACGAGTCTTGTTTGAAATTTAACAAGTGCTTATATGAGTCTTGCTGGAAAGTAGCATCTGTTTGTTATTTTTTCAAAAATTATGGAGAGTTATTTGACTTGTCTAATTACTATCCCAATAGTCTTTCTACTATCATTAGCAAGTTTTTTGAATCTTTAATTAACAAACACCTAATATTTTATCTTAAATTTAAAAACTTAATTTTTGATTATCATTACAGATTTTGATCTTCTTGTTCTACTGCTAATTTGTTAATGGTAAAAACCAATAGGTTTTATTGTGCATAATGGTAATAACCAATAGGTTTTATTGTGCATAATGGTAATAACCAATAGGTTTTATTGTGCATAATGGTAATAACCAACAGGTTTTATTGTGCATAATGGTAATAACCAATAGGTTTTATTGTGCATTAGATAGATGTGAAGAGGTAAGTTATTATTGCTCTCTGCATTTCTAATACCTTTGATAGAATTTAAAATGCTGGTCTTCTTCATAAGCTCTCTTCTCACGGTGTATCAGGTAACATTTTAAAAATTATTGAATCTTTCCTTTTCAATCTCTTCTTTCTTTCCTCTTTCACACTCTTTTTTATTTCCTGTAACTTCAAGTGTTCCTTAAGGTTCTATCCTTGGCCCTATACTTTTTTAAATCTACTTTAACAATCTTTCAGAAATTCTCATATTTAAGGTGGTATTGTTACTGATGATACTACCATTAATTAATGTCTCTTTCTGATTGCTTGGAGGGGACATTTTAGCTTGAAATAGGTTTCACTTCTGATCCAGCATGAGGCTGTCAGTAGCTCTTAAACTTTAACTTAGATAAAACTCTTTTTTTAAAGCTAATCAATATTGCTATTTAGCTCAAAAAAAAATTGCTAAATTGTTATCTAACTCTTCCTATATTTATGAACAGTAATGTACCTTATAAGTCATTTACCATTTGTCTTTTAGGATAACTCTTACTTCCAATCTTTCTTGGAAAAAATATATCAAATCAATTGCAAAATTAGCATCTGGTAAGGCTGCATTTCTTTATCATGCACATACTTTTTTACTCTGAATTCTATTCTTTATCTTTATAAATGTCTACCCTGCTTTTGTATGGAATACTATTGCCATATCTGGAACGGATCTTCAACTGATGCCTTTTCTTTTTTAGACAAGCTGCAAAAATGCATTGTAAATATAGTTGGACCTGCCTTTGCAGACAACCTTCAAACACTATCACATTATCATGATGTTTCTTCTCTTTTTCTTTTCTTTAAATACTATGATGGGCACTGCTGTAAAGAGCTTGTGTCTCTTGTGCCATCTATTTAAAGTCATTTTCATGTTACTTACATTCAATTAAATTTTATCCTATATCTGCGACTATTTCTAAGTTCTCTAGAAATTCTTTTTGTCAAATTTTTTTTTCCCCTTAAACATCAGTTTTTTGGATTTCGCTCCCTTCAATTTGTTTTTCTGATTCATATAATTTGCATTCTTTATTAACTTTATCTTTTCTGTTTATAAGTATTTTTTTTTTTTTTTAAATCTACAGATTTTTTTACAATCTTAAAAATTTTCATTAAATACGTAAAAAAAAAAAAAAAAACTTAAAAATGCCAAATTTTGATAAAACAAACCAAAGTTTATGTTATGTATAAAAAAAATTTGATATATATAATAAGTAAATCATAAAGAAATATGTTTTTAAAATAAGAAATTTAGATTTCCATTGTAATTTTTTTTTATAGTTTAGTCAATGTTTGAAAGATTTAAAAGAACATAGTTTAAAATTAAATTACACTGCAGTACTTCTGTATTGGTATAAAATATATTCCTTTAATTCACCTAAATATATTTCCATACTTATGTAAAATATAAGTATGTAACATTGATAAAGTTCACCATTTTAATTATAGTTATAATATGTAATGTAAAACTAACGCAAAAGACTATTTTATTATGGGTTTGTTTGCTTTTATTATATAATGTTGGACTTTATTAATATCGGAATTAATAACTTATGAAATTTTTGTTTTGGGCACCTTAGTTTGGGTGCCCTTACCAGTCAAACAGTGTGGGATTATGTCTAGGTATGGCACTTATTGGTAAAATTTTAAACTGATTAAAAACTAAAATATTATATTTGACGATAACTTGTTATATTTATTATATGAAAGGCTTTTAATTCATAATTTTAATTTTAAAAGATTACTAAAATCAAACAAATATACAAAAACTTATGAGTTTTTATGTAACTAAATATATATATATATATATATATATATATATGGATTTGTTAAAGAAAGTTTAGTTTTAAATCACCTATATTGTTATGACTGGTTCAATTAAGTGTAAATTTATTTCTGATTGTAAAATATTTAAAATAAGCAAATTTCCAGAAAAACATACAAATCTGCACAACTGTTCACCTGGGTGAAATTTTTTTTTTGTGTATATTTGCAAACTGTTGACTTTTTGACATAAGGCTGCTGTGCATAATGGCATCAAATCAAGTAATTAAATTAGCAACTATTCAAAATGTTTACTCAACAATTTGTTGATATTATTTTACTGTTTATAAAACTATCTTAAAAGGTGAATTTGATTTAAAAAATTATAGATAAAGCCATAATAAATAAAACAGTATGAAATCATAAAAAATGTCAGCTAGTACTGAAGCAAAACTTCCCTAATGACACTAAACAGCATTAGTAGTGTCAGCTTCTGCTTTCTATTTAAAGTAATTACAATAATATAAAATTGTATTGTTAGGTAAATAATTAATAATGGCTTAATGTAAAAACTTTGTATATCTTTGGATTACATTATTTTTGAAATAAATGTAGTAGTTTTGAAGATCACTTTTAAAAACCATGATAGTTAACCAGAGTTGTTAGTCCTTGGCTTTGGTCTTGAATCTATATATATATATATATATATATATATATATATATATATATATATATATATATATATATATATATATATATATATATATATATATATATATATATATATATATATATATATATATATATATATATATATATATATATATATATATATATATATATATATATATATATATATATATATATATATAAAGTAAATACGATAAATGTGTTTGTAAGCAAAAATTATAAGCATTTAAAGGCATCACAGTTGTTGTGATGCCTCAAACAATCCCATGTTGGCAATCACAATTGCAGTGATTACCAATATGGCTTACATTTATTATTTTTAATGTTACATTTGCTCTCTTTAATGTTGTTAAATAAATTTCTTTTTAGGGTGTCTATAGTAGTAGCTTAAATGCAGTGGATTAAATGAGTTTATAAAGTACTAGTATAATTTTGAAGATGTTCTGTGTTTTATTTTAGATTCAGAAATTTCTTGGAGGCTTAAATCTGTTAATATATGATTTAAATATGAATAATTGCAATATGTAATAATTTTGTTAATACTATTAAATAAGTATAAATTTATATTTATTTTATTTAAGGAGATTATGAACCTTTATTTTACTTTATTTATTTTATTTAAGGAGATTATGAACCTACACCTGGATCTGTGATTGGGGCTTTATATAGAGATTTAAAGGTATCAGTTGCAGAATTATCTAAAAATAAAGAGGAAGTTTGTAAAGTATTTTCCTCTTGGTGGTCTAAACAACTTAATGATTTACCTATGAACAGAATATTATGTTATGAAGGAAGTTTCAGAAACCCAAAAAGATCTATAGCAGAAGTGTTTGGGACACTTGTTGCTTTAGGAAAAAATGATTTAACTGTGGTAATGCCCCTTTTGGCTTCTGGAGATCAGGCTAGTGTTTTGTATTTTTTTAATCAATTTTAACAATATATTAGGATTTTTTATGGTATTTATACAATGCTTTAACTGCGTTAATTTTATGCTTTATATTTGATTCCAAAATATTTTTAGTGGTATCTAATAAATCTACTGATTATTTACAGAATAAAACTTAAAAAAAACACCTGTAAAAACACAAAAAAACGCATCTAAACTTAAGTTCTCTTTGTGTTAATAAAAATTTTTGCCAATAAGATTATTAAATTCACAACAAGAGGTAGTCCACTATTATTCAAGGTGGATTTCTTAAGATATCAGTTTTAAGTTCACAACATTCAGGGTGGTAGCAGTCTAATTAAGAAAGTAGGCAAAATCAATTAAGAAATGAATTTAGATTTTATTAAACAGAAAAATAGGCAGAAATTGGGTGCTGGTTCAAACTTGCAAACTAAAGACATTCTCTAAAACTAAAAAAATTATTTTGTGTAGTCAGCTTTCTAACGCTATTTTGGAATTATTTGTATGAGTGATAAAACTTGAAACAATAAAACTGAAAATTACAAAAACATTTAAAATCTGAAGGCATCTGTATACAAAAAAAGAAGCCGATAGAACAGCTATAATTAGCTGTTCTATTATTATAATATATATATATATATATATATATATATATATATATATATATATATATATATATATATATATATATATATATATATATATATATATATATATATATATATATATATATATATATATATATATAAGCTCAAGAATAAGAGATATCAATATCAGTTAAGAGAAATTGTTTAGATAGCTAAGACTTAAATGTAATAAACCAAGCCCACATCTTTTTAAATAAGCTGAATCTAAGCATCAGCTAAACAATTGAGAATTCAAATTTAAAAATTGTTTTCCAAATTCAGATTTACCTAAAGCTAATTTGACTCCAAAACTTTAACCTCTAAACTGAAAAAAATAGAATAAATTAAATAAGAACAGACAATGATCCCTTTTGGTATGGCATCGATGGCATCAACATTTTAAAATTTAATATGAATTAAAAGATATTTTAAAAGATATTTATTAAAAAAATTTTAAAAGATGTTAAAGTCTTCATTTTCTTTATCAGCATACCAACTTTTTAGCTGTCAGATAAACAACTTGTGAATACCTTAGATTTGATTTTTACAACTCGGCCAGCAAGTATAAGTGAAATAGAATCAAAGTTTGTTTTTGTCATTATAAACAGAGGTCATCTGATAATATGTTTCAGTTTCATCCTTTCTGATAAAACAATCTTTGACAATAAAAGCAAGTCGAGATTTTTATTTGCTAGTTCTAATTTTGTACACCTGATCTAATTTTGATTGTTGATTGGATACAATGCTTTTGTAATAAAAACCTACAAGAAATGTTTGATAAACTGATTTTTTACACAGAGGTGGCATATAACAGTAATGTAACCATAAATTTTTTGGGCATACCGGTCTAAAAATCCTGTACACATTTAGAGGACTTTTTTTTTTTTCTAGAACACAAATATAAAAGATTTATACATAATATTATGTTACCTCACCTTAGAATTTTATGTTTTTTCAAATAAAAATATAAATAATTAATTAAAATAATGGTACGTTTATTACAACATGATGTAATGTCAATAATTCGCCACTGTACCATCAACATTGACATGACTTTAACGTCAATATCAATTCGCCACTAATTTTCACTTAAATGTTTTTTTACTAATATAATGAAGAAAATCAAACTTTTTTCTTTATTGCTTCTCGTGAGAAAAGCGAAAAACTATAACATTTCATAAGCTAGCGATAACTATAACATGATAATAGCATATTTATTGCATAACAAAGTCAATTCATTCAAAGTTTTAATCAACTCATTCAAAAGTTAATAACTTTTTTTTGTTGTTCTTCCCTTACTTTTTAAATCAAGTTATACTGTTATTATGTTTTAAAAGACTTTTATTTTCTTATTTAAAATATTTTTAATGCAATTTTGAAATGAAAAAATTATTTTTTATTTGAAATGAAAAAGTTGAAAGCTCATATATGTTTTATGTGACTGTTTCTACTGTTACAGTCTGACATCTGCTGTTGTTAGACTCTATATACTGTAATGTATATCACAGCTTATATTAAATAAGCTGTGATATACATTACAGTGTATAAAATGTGATATACATTACACACTGTAATGTATATCAAATTTTATTTATTTATTGTAACTTTATGTAAATAAATCAGCAAATATATATATATATATATATATATATATATATATATATATATATATATATATATATATATATATATATATATATATATATATATATATATATATATATATATATATATATATATATATTTAAAAAAAAATCGCATTGAAAATTTTATTTATGAAAATGTAAGCGGAGAGAAACTCATATTTGGACTATTTTTAAAAAGTTAATGTTTTTATTTAAAAGTATAAAAGCGCTTTATATTTTAATCCAATCAAAACGCGTGTTTTACATTTTAATGTGAATTCGAATTAAGCATTCTAATTGAAATAAAAGAAAGTGATGATCATCTGTCATCTTTTAATTTAAGAACTACTGAAACATTCATCATGACAATTAAAGATTTTACATATGAAAATGACCTTCTAAGATTGAAAAACCTGGAAGAAAATAAATTAAGTAATGTTGATAATTTACATTAAGCTATTTTAAAGAACTGTGCATCTACCTTTACCATTCCACACATGCATTTTCAGAATCGTTTGAAACTAGCAAACTGCAATTGCAATTTAGATCAGTAAATATCACTCCTCTGTACAAAAAAGCCAAAAAAACTTAAATAGGAAACTACTGACTAGTATCACTTTCTTTAATTGCATGAAAAATAAAGGAAGGCATAAATAGATGTACACTTAAATAAGTTCAAATTAATAGTCAGACCACAGCAATTCTTGTTGAAAATAAATCATCCATGACAAATCTACTTAAATTGGTAGATTTTACTTCAATCACTTTAGAGAATGTTGATGTTATTATTTTGAATTTTTCCAAGGGAATTGACACAGTTCCCGTAAAAGATAGATGTTAAATCTAACAGGTTATGAAATATCTGGTCTCACAGTACTATGGGTTAAAGTCTTTTATAAGAAAAAAAATAAAGAGTTGTGATAGGCATTACCATCTGCTGTGCCACATAGGTTGTTAATTGGAACACACTTATTTGTTCGATTTATAAACAATTTGTTTGAAGCTTTAAAAAATGTAACCAAGCTGTATGCAGATGACACCAAAATATTGAATAAAATGCTTTCTGGGCATCAACATTTTCTTTGGAATCAGATCTCAATTTAACTTTTATGTGGGCTTAACAATTGCTTGTGAAGTTTAATATTTCTAAATGTATTATCATGCACTACAGGTAAAGTAACAAAAAATCACCCTTTTATATCAATAAACAAGCGTTAAGTGTAACAGAATTGGTAAGTCATTTTGGAGTTCATAAGTAATCTGAAATAGAATATTCAAGTAAATTTGTAAACAAATCCTATTAAATGTTCGATTGGATTGGGAAATGTTTTGTTCGTTTAGATATTAGACTCCTGATATTATTCTATGTTTCTTTTTTGAGACCACTGTGAGATTGCAGTATTATTATGGTCACCTTTAAAATAAAATGGTCACAATTAAAAGGGGCAAATCGATTTATTGGAAAGAGTTTAAAATCAATCATTTTAAAGAATACCACCCTTTAGAAAATCAACAATGAGAATTGCCCTAAAGTTCACAACTTGATTTTCTTGACAAAACAAAGATAAAGAGGAAGTTCAACTTTTTAAAATCTTCAACAGTTTGAATAATTTAGAAACAACCAAAACATTTGTTTTCAAAAAACTCAATGATACATGAAGCAAGCATGTTGTAAAATTCTTTTTTCTTTAATTTGGCGATTTATACAATAGCTTGCTGAGCAAGTTAGTTTTAAAGCAGGTCATGATTTCAGGATGTGCAGCAATCAAGAAAATCAGCTAGTGTGTTATAGTGTGTTAATACCACACTCAGTAGTTCACAAAAGTTACAGCAACTACTAATGCTAGTACTAATACATTCTGCATTCAAAAAAAAAAATTAAAGTCAATTAATTTTCCACTTTCAAAACACTTCAATTTTTGCTTTACGTTAAGGCCAATTATTAATAAAACTGTAAGTAGCAAGTGCTGTGATAATCAAACGCATTTTTAAAAATAGACCAAGTTTACGCGCAGAATTCAAAATATATATATATATTTTTTTCAAGGCCAAGGCCAAAATTTTCATAATTAAGGCCAACAGTTTCAAGGCCAAGGCCTCAATTTTAGGCCTAAAGGCCAGGCGAAGGCTAAGGACTAACAACTCTGGTCTCAGTTAATAAAGCACTCAAGTAGTTTTTCTGTGCTGCAGCCTTATTAGACAAAGTTAAGTGCAGCAGCCATTATTAGTCAAAGTTTGTGTTTTAGAATTATAGGGTTAATAAAAGATTGTAAAATGAACTTAAAAAGATTATCTTCCTTGTCCCCCCTTGTCATTGGGGATAAAAACAAGTAAAATTAAATACCAATTGTTTTCAGGTGTACCTATAAAAATGTCTTTATTTAATATGGGTGTATAAAAAAAAAATTTGCAATACTTGTTTACATTGTGTCATTAAAAAATGCATATATTTATGTTTTTTTTGTCCATAGAATTGCAGCAAGGAAGATATGATGAATATTATTTTTAATGCATCAACTTGTTGGATGCAAGCTGGTTTTCCAGTAAAATTACTCAAAATTGTGGTTTATGCTCGCAATGTTAATGATCTTGATGCTTCAGCATTATCATTATGCACTTTGTTTGGTTTTCTAAAAACTACGAGTTGGAGGAGGCCATTAGTTGAACAAGTTAGTAAAATGTTCTTGTATTAATTTTTGAAAAATTGTTTTGTTTTTTTAGCAAAAGAAAGAAATCTTACTAAAACCTTGTTATAAAAAGATGCGTGTTTTTGTTCTAAGCAACGCTGAGTTATTTTATTTAAGAATGTTTACTTGAATTGAAAACATTGTTTTTATTGAACATTTGTGAAATTTATAAACTTGTGGTATTGTTATGTATTGACAATTTTGCAATGGCTCTTAGCAAATTTTGACAGTTAGCACTTTTAAAAAATGTGCTACAAAAAACAAAGCAAACTAAAATGAGATTTTTAATTTTATTGATTCCATAATTACAATTAAACTGCTACAAAATTTTCAAATTGCTTCAAATCAGGGATTATCTTTTTCTGTATATTTCTGGAATTCTGGATATTTTTCTCAACTTTTAGTTTTTCAGGATATCAAAAATGTTTTTTATACATACAAGTTTAGGAATATATTTTTGTAATGCATTTGTTTTTTAAGCTTTTTCACTCATTACTCATACAAAAATAAAAAAAAGAAAAATAAAAAAAAGGTAAAAACAGCTCAGCTAAAATCAAAATTAAGAGGAATATTTGGGAAAATATATTCAGAATTTTTTCTGGATATTTTTCCCTACTTATTTTCCGAATTTTTAAAGTATGACCTGGATGATCTTTGACAAAAGCACTTTATTGCAATGTAATAAAAAGTGAAAAAATATTCAGATTAGAGTTTAAAGCAAAATGAATGCAGAAGCAAAAAAATCATTTCAAACAGTATTATCATGGAAATATAGTTTCTAATAAAAAAATTTTTTACGTAACTGAAAAAAATAATTATAATAACCTTGAAATAATGGCATCTGCAAACTATTTATTAACTATCCCAGGGCACATTTTTTAACTATCGCCTAGTTTAAAAGATTTATATCAAATGATGGAGTTTAGTTTTTAAATAATCCCAGTTTTTAATAAGTTATTCAATATAACTGATGGTTACAAAGATGATAATAAGTTATTCAATTTTTATTTTTTAGAAACTTTTTTTTTACGCATTTGCAAAGTGCGAACAAATGATAAATGTGCAATTATGATAGCTATCTTCAATAAAAGAAAGCAATCATATTGTTTAAGCACGGTTTAATTTAATTTAACTGTAAATGCTTTTATTTTGAGTAAAATTTTGCATGCTTTTCTAAGCGCATGTAAAAGCCATGCTAAAACATAATTACTTTCTTCAATAACATTCTTAGTTATTTTACTTAAAAGTAATCCTATTGAAAAAAGTAATTATGTTTTTACACGGTTTTTTTAAAAGTCTCTAAAATAAATTGTTTTTTATTTAAAAATATGTTTTTTTATAAAAGTAAAAAAAGGATGCATCTCAATATTAAACCAAACAGAAGAATAAGCTCTCTCGACATAAGTTACTAAATGGATCAAATTTGTTGATGGATCCTGGCACGCCATATTCAACCTTAGAAGTTTATTTGTTGTTCTCAGCACTTGAGAGTGATTTAGTACCCAGTTTTAGTTCCCTATTCTAAGCTGGGGGAGTAGGTAATGAAATGTTAAACATTTCTAAGTTGCAGATGGCAAGAAAAAACCATGAAATTATAGAGAATGAAGCACATATTTTAATGGGCAAACCTTGGATTAAATAAGGGGTTTAAACTTGTATTTTCACTTCCAGCTTAACTTTCTTTTGAAAATACTTGAAGTACCTTCCTCCAAAAGGAAAGATCAAGCACTGGCTATCCAAAGTCTTCTGGAATATTATAACTTAACAGAACAGATCATAGCTTGTTATGCTGACACAACTCGCTTAAACACTGGAAAACATGATAGTGCAATTAGAAATATTGCAGTTTATTTTCTAACTTTACCAATTTTATGGCTAATGTGCAGGTATGATGCTTTGATATATGAATTACAGGCATTTATTTTCATTTTATTTTTTTTTTGAGATTAATGACAGAAAATGATATTAATAATAAATTAAGGCACCATATAATGGAACAACATGTTCTTTATGTTATGATGGAATTACATGAAGAAACAAAGGGACTCAGTTAATCTTTATACAAAAAACATCAAGATCTTTGGCCTAAGATTGAAAAAGGAATACATTGGTCAATACTGAGAAATTTGAGAACAGACCTGAGATTGCTTTTTGGAACCATCTTTTACAATCTTGCAAAAGAAACTATACAGTTCTGCACAATAACTCTTAAATCAAATAATTTGGACAAAGGTGATTACAAGTATTTATGTCAACTGGTAGCTTTTTACTCGGAGCA